AAGAAAAATGCAAGGCTGTGTGCGGTGCGGCTGTACAAGATTTGCAGAGTGATTGTCCTAATTCACGCGGGAGAAGGTGTTTTCGTCTGGGCCCGACCCTACTTGGTATAAATACATGTAAAAATGCTATTTTGAGGACTTTTGACACATCTTAGACCCAGGGACACACTTTAGACGTGGAGGAACACAAACCACGCTTGGAGGAGGCTGCTAACTAGTTTTTCTTCTCTTTTCTTCTTTTAGTTTAATAGTTTATTAGTTCTAGAGTTTTGGGTGCTACATGAACGTTGTAGTTTGAATCTTGAATTGTTCTTATTATTTTATTATATTGGTTTGTTTATTCAATCTTGCACTTAATTATTTGATTGCTTGATCACCAATTAAATACTATATACGATTGAACTCGGGAGAGGGAATTCTAGATTGCATATAAGATTGAGTAGAGCAGGATCTTAACTCTGAGGGGGAGCGGATTTGCGGTTAGATAGGAATATACCTATTCGCCTTGCTTGGTTACTATAGGGGAATTATTAATGGTTCTTGTTAATCCTGATTCCATAGGAATATAGGCGTTAGGTTAGCTTGAATAGGCGAGTTGTACTTCGGGAGAAGGCTACGAGCAATATTAACCCTGTCAACCAATAAACCAGATAAATTAATTAGACGATTTAAATGGAAAACTCAACGGGATTGTTAGCTAACCCATAGCTCTAGAATATTTACTCACATTGAATTCGTCTCTATAATTGCCAACTTGTTTTCTTTAATCTCTTAGTTTACTACTCTAGATTATCATTAGTTAAATATTCATATGTTAGGATTCACTTGAATAGATTAATTGTTTGGTTTAATTTAGTTGATATTTAATCACAAGTCCCTGTGGGTACGATATCTAGACTTATAATCCTATATTACTTGTCGACCACGTATACTTGCGTGTGCATTTGGGAGCAACAAGTTTTTGGCACCGTTGTCGGGGACTTAGAAATTACCTAGTCTACTAGATTAGATTTTTACTCTTTTTTCTATTCAAGTCTTTAAATTTTTATTTTAGTTTAATATTTATTATCTTTGTTGATATGACATATTGGAATGATAATTGGTCGAATATTGGTTATTCTTATTATGGTGATCCTTGTCCATATTGTGAAGGACCACACTTGTGGCAAAATTGTGAATTTCAATCTTATGGGTGAAATATTTCTAATATGTGTGGTGGTCAAGGTGGCCATTGGGATGGTTGTCCTAATTCTTATTATCGTTCTCAGAATTCTTATTATAATGTTTCTAATAATATTTATGAGTTTGATATGAGCAAGGAAGTGGATGATATGGAAAACATGACTCGTATTTTGTACATAATAAGGCAAGTAGTCGAGCAACATGACATGATGATGAGGCGAGTAGCCGAGCAACATGACATGATGATGAGGAAAGTAGTCGAGCAACAAGATGAAAATCGAAAGGCTATACAAAGAATTAGTGCAACAATCATGAGAATGAAGGCCGAGGCGGAGGAAGTGGCTGAAGAGAGCGAGTTCCCACCAGAAGATAATTTAGAAGAAACAGATATAGTGATCCAATCTTGGCTAGAGGAACAAGCTCAACCGATAAAATCTCATGAGTTTCTCCGTGATGGTCTTTCAAATATGATAGAACAGCTGATAGCTGAAAGAGCTGAGCTCAGGCAAGAGATAGACCAATTTGGCTCAGATATCCATGACTTGCAGGCTCAATTGAATAAAAAGGTTGAGAATTCTGATGTCCTACAACTAATTTTTGTGGATACTGGTCAATTTATGGAGCAAAAAGAGGAATCCCAACTATTCGACCAAATTATTAATAATGCCAAGGTTGACGAAGTGTGCAAAAGTGAAGATGTCAAAAGTGAAGCGATTTTAGATTTGGTGCGCATTGGACCTCATTCAAACCATTTTTCAACATTGTGTTTGGTTGGTGACATGAGAATTGATCCATTCGAGCATATAGAGGAGTCAATGGATGGGGAACAAAGTGCATATATTTTGAAATATGTGATGCCGAGGAGACAAAATGACATCACTCACTTAAAAGCCAAGAAGTGCAAGATGCGATATTATTTGCTTGGTTCCTTTATTTTCTCACCACCACCCCAAGAGCGTGACAGAAAAATTGATGCAAAATTAGGGGCACAATTTATATCCTCAAAGTGGAAGGAAAAGAGGTGAAAGTGATGGCGTCGTGCCGCGACATTAAATCAAGCGCTTGTTGGGAGACACCCCAATTCTATTTTTTCTTTTTACTTTTGTTTTATTTTCTTTAATTGTGTTAATTTTTTTGTAGTACTATTTTTTGTGTTTTGTAGGAGTATGAGCATGGAGTCAAAGCCATACGCGAGTGCAAAAGCGAGCATGTGTTTGAAACTGAGTGTGAGGTACCTGCACAAGGGATCATACCTGGGAGAAGTCTGAGTTTCCCGTGAGCTGCTAATGCTTCGGCCTTTGGCCTATCAGGGAGTCTCTTTTACCCTATTATTATTTTCAGTGTGCATTGAGGACATTGCACAATTTTAAGTGTGGGGTGAGGAGATTGTCTATGTGATTTCTTTGCTATCTTAGCTTAGTTGTAGTACTCGTTCTTAGTGTAGGAGTTTTTGTTAAAAAAATATAGAAAATTGGACTTTTCCCGACGATGGATCTCCTAGACAGTTTTCTTGAGGTATTTAAGTCTAAAGAAAAAGGACAAAAAGATTTTTTTTGTAGGTAGAGTAGCAATTCCCCCTTGGTTTTTCTTTGTGCCGCGGTTCTTTTCCGAGGATTTTTTTGAACCGGGTATAGTTAGTTTTTATTTTGTTAGAAGTAGGAAAACTTGTGTTATATTTTGAATTGAAGCAATATCTTTTAACTTTGTTATGCCTTGAGAATAGTGAGTACTTTGGTGGTGACGCTTAAGCTCAGTTTTTGATTCTTGTATAAGTACCTTAAATTGTAGGATCTTAACTTTGATTAACTTCTTTGACTAAAGTGTCTTGATGAGTCCAATCCTGAGTGAGTTATGTGCCATGTGTGTGTAAGGTTTTGTGTTATTTTGTGCATTGCATTTGATGTCTAGAACTTGCCCCGTGTGTTTGCAAAGCAAAATAGTAGTTTTGTTCAGTCTTGGAAATGATATAGGCGTTTCTTTGTTGAGCCATATATATATTTTACCCGCCTAATTGTTATGTATCATAGTTAACCCCTTTGAGCCTGTAATCCTGTTTCTTTGGCAACCACATTACAAGCCTTACCCATTTGTTTGAATTAACCATCTATTTGAACATTTTCACCTCTCATGAGCACTTGAATTATTATGAACTGTGTAAAAGTTAAAGTGTGGGATGGTTGGGTTGGCTTTTGAGTGGAACTAATGAAATAAGGAGAAAAGTGCATTGTTTTGAAAAAGTAAGAGCCACATGAATTGAAAAGAAAAAAAATTAGTTGTATTGTTGTGAAAAAATAATTCTAGATGGTGGTGGCTAGTGATATACTTATGCTTAAGGAAGTGGGTTGTTAATATATATTGGTGTGAAGGTGGAGTAATGGTTTGACATATGTGAGAGGTTTTAAATGTTAAAGTGTATTTATCAAAGTGCTTAGGGAGATGTAGTCACTATTATATCTAAATGTATCCTACCCGATTTGCAGCCTACATTACAACCACATAAAGTCCTACTTGATCTTAGACTGAATGAGCTCGATTAGTAGAGTATGTAGTACACTACGGGCAAGCCTATGTGCATCTTTTGTGGCATATGAATGTTATTCTGAGAATGAGTGAATTCTTTCTATCTTGAGTTCCTAATTGTTCTTAATTTGTGTTGTGTGTGGAACTACTCTCTTCTGTTGTGTGAGGGCACTTGATTCATGAAGGAAAGGTAATGTTAGTGACCTCTATGTTAGAGTAAGTGGGTGAGTTGTGAATAATGCGTCGTAATTGTGAGTCAAACCTTGAGGTGAAGAGGTTACACTCTTGTGCTTAGTCTATTTTAAATATTCTTGGTGTGATGAGTTAGGAGAATTGTTTAAAAAGGTCGTGTCTATATAAAGTGTAGTTTGATTGCTCGAGGACGAACAATGATTTAAGTGTGGGGCGTTGATGATAGGCTATAATTATGTATTTTAGTCGCTTATTACACTCTAATTTACTACATTTTAATTGGGTTTGAGCTTTAATCGCTAGTGTTTTACACTAAATATGTGTTTATGCCTTGTAGGAGTGATTCCGATCTATGTAGGAGTTATGTGACTCGTACATAGATTTATAGGATTCATCCGTGCTTGTAAATTGTGACTCGGACTCATGGAATGTAAGTATATTACTATCTCAAGAGTCAAAATATTCTTTTTTGACCATATTTTTCTTAAATGCTTTTTTAATACTTTAAATTATTAACTATTTTTTATAGTTCTTTCTATGTAGTTTTCAGACATGCACATTTTATTTTCAAAAATTTGAAGGATTTATGTTGAAATTCACAGTCAAATTTAAATACTTTGGCCGTTGTACTCCAAACTATGCCAAATCATATGAAACGAAGGGAGTATGTAGTACGTACTGTACGAACTTGAATGCAATTTTGGTCATAAATCTGTGGGTTATCATGCTAATTTTCATTCCCAAAATCATGTTAATCTTTAGAGTTCTAATTATATCGAATAAAAGATGCTTTGCTGTATCAAAAAGAATAGAGAGAAACCTGTTTGAAAACAATTTGCAACTGACATCTTAAATAATTTTGCCATTCCTGTCCCATAAAATGTGTGGATTTGACTCCCTTAAAATAAAACAAATAAAAAGATGATGTTTAAAATAGAAAGCTCTCTTTAATCCTACTTTAGGTCTTTACCATTGTTAGTCAACTCATCAATAAACTTAACGAGCTAGAAATATAGCAAAAGGCTTTGTATACGTACATAATGTATTTAGATATATACACACCGAATAAGAATAAATTTTTACCCATACATGTATAACTATTCATCCTAAGCTAGATCTAAATAATACGGAATAGTGAAAGGAATCCATTTATCACCGTTTATGAAGTTCCTAACGGTGAAATTCGATGCAATTTTTGGATCATTAGTGACGATTGCCCACTTCACACGTCCTATAGTATTTGCACCTTCTCCTCTGTTCATGTATTCCATATAATATGGGCGAATTAGGGTTTCATTTGTAAACTCTATCCATCCGTTTGGATTTATTAAAAGGTCAATGTCACTTTGCATGACCACTGTTCTTGAGTAATTACCCCACGGTCGCCCTAAATACGTTGTAACATTTTTACCCATTTTCTCCAATTCTGGTATTGTTTTTATTGTGCAATTTTGCAGCACAATTCCAGTTGCTTCACCCTGCTCGTCTTCTCTTTTCTGTGCTGTGATTGTATTAAACTGTCCAGGAATTGGCGCGCGCACTTCAATAATGGAGTTTTGGAACACTGCAGTTGCGTCTCCACATATAAAGTCTATGGTGCCCAATACTTCACAATCTCTATAAAACTGTTTGCCCGCTCTTGTGTACAAGGTATCCTGATATCCCTCGAAACGACACCTATAGAAGCTAATCTATTCAGCTTCGGCCATTAATGCTACGGCTTGATACTTCCATGGTCAAGCTTCATTCCTAAAAGTAATGTCTAGGGCTGCGAAGCCTTGCCCTTTGACACCTTAAAAATCAAAATAAAGCACAATGGTGAGTAATTATGGAATCTAAATAAGGTAATATATTAGTGAGTAAATAAAAACCATAGATCGATCGACTTACTAACTGTTGCAGTGTATAATGTCCGAATGCCATCACCACCAAAGCTCTTATTCCCTGTTATTATTGTATTTTCTGTCCCTTCACCGATTAGAAATATATTGGTCTTCCATTTTTCAATTTGAACGTATTCATGGTAAGTTCCGTTTTTTATTTTTATGTAGTATGGCTCTACACTATGGTTTGGGGATGCAAAAATTGCAGCCGTTATAGTAGTAAAATCTCCTGACCCATCCTGTGCAACTATTGCACGAGGTTGTTGGCTTTCTCCAGTACACGTTAAGACAGTTAACCAAACGGTTATAACAATCAGCCACGTCATAGCTTCAGATAATGTCTGTCTTAATTTGCTGCACTGCATGCATGTAGCCATTAAGAATCTGGTTAGTTACGTGACTAGTCAAAACCAATAGTACGATACATTCGAGCCTTGTCTAGAGATAGAGAGAGAGAGAGAGTTGCTTACAGCTATGCTACCAAATCGAACCAATACTGTGTCGTCCCCTTCTCTGGAGGAGCAGTGAGAGAGACGGTTTGTGCGAGCTTTCTTAGTGGAAGAGCAGAAAAATTTGAAGAAGGTTTTAATGATCCAAAAAGCCAAAGTTAATTTAGAGGAACTTTATGATTTCAAGTGTTGGAAATTTTTTGACATTCGAGTAATGAATTCGTGCACTTAAATACTGTGAGGTGATTGGGAAATTTTTGTTTTAGTTCCTTATATTATGAATCAAAACGAACATGTTTACTGTCAAAAAAATAATAGTAGGATAATGAACTAGAATTAGACAATTTTATCCTCAAATGATAAAAAGAAAAGACTAATATGAAAACTGGTGTAATATCACTACAACAAATTTGATTATCAATGACGAATTAGTTTGTCACTTAAAAGTCATATTTCGTCACAAAAAAAAATTTGTGACAAAAAATAATTCGTCTATTTTTCGTCCCGAAAATACCGTCACTAAAAGTATACAGAGACAATTTGTTGTTCATCGCTAAATCAAGTTAACTTAGGGAAGAAATTTCTTTTCGTTCCCAAATGCCTAATTTTTGTGATGAACGTATTTGTCTTGAAAAATGTAAAAATTTTGTAGTTAAAGGTACCACGTCATCGCTAAAAAGCCCTTTATTACCGAAAAATCTAATTCGTCACTAACAATAGTTTTAATTAGTGACGACGCCAATGGTCTCTAAAGCTAAATATATTGTTTTGGTAGAACTATTATCTTCTACATCCATTAGAGTCATATTGGTGAAAAATTGTTGAATTTTCGGTTTGGGGGTTTGGGNAATTTCTAGGGGGCAAAGGTCGCTATGGAGGAGATTAGTATGTCAGTTAGTTGCTGAATAAGATTTGAGTAATAACTGTATCCCACTTAAGTGACAAAAAACTACTATATATATTGTTATTTAGTCTCTAATTTCTTCATAATTTCGGTATGGTTTAGTGACTAGTAAGGAACCCGTTTGTGGCAGCTTTTCGATATAGTTTTGGTGAGGATATGCTCTCTTTTGTTATATAGTCTCTAATCTCTTCTTTCTAGCTAATTTAGGTATGGTTTAAGTGAAGATATCGTTTGTGCCAGCTTTTTCTTCTTTTGCTATAGTTAATTTCGGAGTTTGAACTTTGTTTTTAATGTAAAAAGTGGTTCCTTGTACTCCATTTCTTTTCTATATAACAGATATTATGAGAAATTAACAAAATGCTACTCCCTCCGATCCATAATAAGCGACCAATTTGCTTTGGGCACATCCATTAGTGAAATACTAAATTCTAGACGAAAATAGTTAGTGTGACTAAACTACCCTTCATTAAATGTTGCATCATAGTTATAGTAGTACTTACTTCTCTTCTCAAATGTGAGGAGTAAATGACTTTTTAGGGATACGTACATAAAAGTAATTTCAAAATAAATTGAATTTTTTCTTGATTATATAAATGGACACTTATTTTAGACCAAAATAAAAAAGTAAATTGATTACTTATTGTGAACCGAAGGAAATACTATTAGTATTGACCACTGCAACAGAAAAAAGTTCCATTATCGTAAAATAGAAAGAGACAATAAAGTTGAAGGGAATACTTTCGGGCAAAGATAACTTTTAGCTCCCGATCGAATCTATTTATATTCGGCAGCTATAAAGGTGAATAAATTTCGTATTTTTTTGTATATGAAAAGCAAAAAATATACAAAAAAAAATTATATTTTTCGATTATTATATTATTTTGAAAGTGCTTTGTCACGATCCGGAATTTTCACCTTCGGGACCGTGATGACGCCTAACATTCCACTCGCTAGCTAAGCCGGCATTAGAGTAAATATTAAGCCATTTTTTTAAATTCAAGTAATTAAAAACCAACTAAGCTGACATAAAACTGGATAAGGTGCGAAAATGTATAAATACCAAAATATCTAAGTACAACCCGTATCTGGCGTCACAAGTGCACGAGCTACTAGAGGTTCTACAAATAGTGTCTGAAATAAATATAACTGGTTCGAATAAAATGAACAGTAAAAGAGGAAAGAGGAAGGGACTTCAAGGTCTGCGGACATTAGCAGATCTACCTCAAGTCTTCAAATGTGATAATCCGAGATGGTGCACCTCACGTACAGTTGGGACCAGTACCAAAATATGCAAAAGAAGTGCAGTAGTATGAGTAGAACCGACTCAATGTACTACATAAGTGTCGAGCCTAACCTTGACGAGGTAGTGACATAGTTATAACAAGACACTCACGTAATTAAATTTGTACAGCATAGAGATACGTACCAAACAACAACAAAATAGAGATTTAACATGTACGGTTGAGAGGGGACATGCGAAAGGGGAACAAGATACGATAACTGCAACATGAATGACAATGCCAGACAGTCAAATAAGTCATCAACCAATAAAGACAGATAAGTATACAGAAATGAAGATGGCACATCATCACCCATCATACTTTTACTCTCAACATTACCATGAAAGAATGACATAAATAGAATGAAATGTCATGGTATCACCCTTCGTGCTTTCACTCTCGATTTGCTCACGTAGCAAAGAATGATTGATATAGATGGCACAACATCACCCTTCGTGCTTTATCTCTCTACCTCACTATGTATTAATCAATAAACAAAGCAATGAAACGGCATGACATCACCCTTCGTGTTTTAACACCCTCCCTTACCATGTAGTAATGAATATAAATTTTTTAGAAAATAGAATATATAAGAATAAACTTTACGTCAATAATGATTCCAAGATGCTAAACTTCAACTTCCAAAATACTCAATCGTCATAGTTAATCCATAAATACGGAATAAACGATCAAGAAATTAAGAATCTAATCTAAGCATGGATATCATAATTAACGAGAAAATAAATCATAAGGAAACAAGTTCTACTCGCATGCTTCGACTCAACAATAATGCATAAGTACTCGTCACCTCACTTATACATTGTACCCACATATTAAACACGTAGCAAATAGAAAAAATAAGTCCTAATCACTCAAGTTAAATTTAACTACGACACTTACCTCGCTCCGCAATTGACTCAAGTTATACTAGGGAAGAAATTTGTTTTCGTTCCCAAATGCCTAGTTTTTGTTACGAACATATTTGTCTTGAAAAATGTAAAAATTTTGTAGTTAAAGAGACCATGTCGTCGCTAAAAAGCCCTTTAATACCGACGAATCTAATTCGTCACTAACTATAATTTTAATTAGTAACGTCGCCAATTATCTCTAAAGCTAAATATAATGTTTTGGTAGAACTATTATCTTCTACATCCATTAGAGTCATATTGGTGGAAAATTGTTGAATTTTCGGTTGGGGTTGGGGGGAAGGGGGAGGGG